GGGACATATGGGAGCTTTGTACAAGAAGTATAGTACAAAGGCTGAATGCACTGTGCTCCCTGAAGGGTCTGCCCTCAGTGGGCTAGTCTAAGATGAATGTCAGGCAGCCTGGCGTGCATTCGGGCAGACCATTTCTAGTCTGACACAATTGCATCACTGGTCCATTCTCTTTACCTTCCTCTCATTAGGACTAGGGAGGTATTGTCCTGAAATCCCTGTAATGTTTTTTCTAGTTGCCCCTAAAAGATGAGGACAAAACAATGAAAACAATATGTAAATATTAAGGACCCAATTTGGTGTAGGAACACTCTTTGCCTTCAGATCAGCTAAATCTAAGCACCACAACCACTTCAACACACTCTAGTGGTTGTAATATCAGGATCCATTGATCACAGAGATGCTCATTCAATACTTTACATTTTTGAGGTTGTACTTTTGTGACACTGTAATCACCATAACAACTACAACTCACTGTGGTAGTTATGTTTGCAGGGTGCTGCACTGCTGTACTGTACTGCGATATATGTCAAGCTATTTGAACTTATCTTGCTGTGTAGGGTGCCCACATACCTTCCAGTCTGAACTGGATTGATAAAGTGAAAGTTATGTGTCAATTGACACTCTTAGCCAATGAACACTGCTCAGAGGGACATTAAAGTCACCCAGACCACTTCATCTTAATGACTTTTTAACCCTGCAATATCTCAGTAATTGTCAGAACTCTTTTATAGAGGATGGAAACTGTTGTCTGGTATTGGATCTAATATGGTTTGCCTTTGAGGTTTCATTTTATTTGTAATTAAAGTTTATTTACTGAAAAGTTTAACTCATTTAAAAAAAATTTGTCAATCGTTATTTATAGCGTGCGAAGAAGTAACATAATGCTTGGTAAGCCACAACAGCTTCCACAAACATAAGTATAACATGCAATATAACACAGTATTAGACATGTTTCAAATCAGTTTAAAGCGGCACTGTCATGGCCGAATCCAGTTTCTTTTTTTACCCCCTCCCGATTCCACTACATTCGATTGTCCCTCTAGTCACCCCCCATTTGCCCCTAAGCCCCCCATTTTACCTAATTTTTAATCTTTATTTTCTGCCCAGACCTAGGTTCTGGGCGCCGCCATCTTTGTGTGGGTCGATGAAGTCCCTGTGGGATAAGTCATCTGCCCACACTAGATAGCGCTGTGAGATTCCCGCACATGCCCAGTTAAACACTTGGGCATGCGAGCGGGAATTTCATCTATTCATTCATTCATTCATCAGAAAGATGAATAAATGAATAGAAATATGAAACGAATGAATGAAGACCTCTTCGTTAGTTTGTTTGGTTTATTAAAAGGAGGGAGCTACCGGTGCACAGCTCCCTCCTTGTAATATGTAAAGATAGAAGCATCAGGGAGCAGTGCTCCCCACCACTTCCTAAGCCCCCATATCCTCCCTCACTCTATGGGTGTCAATATGACCCCCATAATAGCATAGCACAATAGCATAAGTGAGACTAAAATCTCCTGAATGCTCCTACTCACGGCATAGTCGGTGGCTGCTCACTGTTAAAAAAAGCCCCCTCATGACCTCCCCACCTGTGCTGCATGAGCTATTAAACTAAAGGCGGACCTAGCGTCTCCCTCCGGGCCCCACCCATGAGTGGCAGATGGGGGCCCTAAATGAAAATGGAAGGGACCTATTGTCCCCCCCTGGTGCCCACCCATGAGCGGCAGATAGGGGCCCTAAATGAAAATGGGGGGATCTATTGTCCTCCACCCCAGCCCCCACCCATGAGTGGTGGGTGGGGGCCCTAAATGACAATGGGAAGGGACCTATTGTCCTCCCCCCACGGCCACCACCCATGGGCAATGAGTGGGGGCTAAATGTAAGCCTCCCAGGTGACTAAGGGCAAGCTCCTAGTCACCCCCCACCCACCCCAAAAAATTTAATAAAGACCTACCTACCCACCTCACCCTAAAAATAGTGAGGAGGGAACAAGAAAACTAAATACCTGTATATAAAAAATAACCATTTGATGTCTTTGTTTTTCTAAAATCTTTTTTCCGCCCTAAAAAAGGCCAAATAAAAATCGATAATACACGTCGCAACTGTTAAAATAAAAAAAATTTAAAAACAATGAACTCCCCCCCCACCATCCTAAATTGGTCTTTCAGCCTTTTGGTAGATAGCTCCCTAATACCGTGGAAGTTATCTACCAAGCAGTTGCAAGATGCAGTCGCGGCACGAATCGGAATTTCATTCATTCAAATTAAATTCCGATCTGAACAAAGTCTCGAATTGCATCCTAACACAAATGGAGAAACTATTCTCATTCTCTTAGGATGAAATTCTGTAATTTCGCCAGCGTTCTGTCTAAAATGACAGGATGTTCGGGAATATTGACAAGAAGCATCTTGAGATTATGGAGGAAAGGTAAGGATTGTGGGAAAATTTATCTGACCACAGGAAACGGAGCACACTTTGGTCCTCCGCGGGTCAGAGATGGTCAGGCGTAGGAAACCTCCATAAGACAAATAGTCCCTACAGTTTCTTTATAGTTTAACATTATAGATGTGTTGCTATTTGAAACTGCCTCCATGCTTTAGAAAATATTCATTAACTTTTCTCCTTTTAAGAAGGAGATTAGCTCCCTCTAGTGGTTAGCTCGTGCACAAACCACGTAAAGAAAATCAGGGGTATTCACTAAACGTGGAATTGAAAATGTTAGGGCAAAATAATCCACGGGTAAAAAAATTCCAACTCAGCTATTTATCCATCTTTGCTATTTTAGCACAAAATGTACAAGTCCATTTTAATGTGTCATTAAAGGAGATTGTCTTAACTCTCAAAGAGTGTTCTACAATGCTGGGATTTCTCTAAAAAATGATATCATGGTACAGTAATTTTAACTCCACGCACACACTGCCAAATACATTCATCCATACACACGCACTGCCTAATACATACATAAACAGACACACGCTGTTCAATTTACAATCAACTATAAACACACACTGCCCAATATATCCATTCAAACACACACCGCCCAATAAAATCATCAATACATGCACGCTGCATAATACATACAAACTTCCATAAACATATAGGAAAAAATTGGGATTGAACAGCGCTACAGTACTAATCACAGGGGTGGATGGAGCTGCACACCTGAGGGGAAGAGCAACCCTCAAACCCTTCAACAAATCTGGGAGAACAGGGAACAGCAAATACAGGCTGCGCTAAGTGGAACAAATGAGAGATAATATTTACAGAAAGGACAAAAAAGTCTCTGAAAATGCAAGGTGGACCTTGGGTAGGTATTCTTTGGTTCTTGATTGAGTCCTCAGTAGTTAATATGAAAAACAAAAGCAAAAACAAAGAGGGACCAATAGTGCAAAACCGTTAGGAGATGGTGTCACAGACAACACAGAAATAGAGAAGTGCCAATTTACAATATATGCCCAGCTCTAGGTAAAATGGCATACAGTGGTATTTGAAAATCCCCACATGTAGGATATAGCTGGGCAATAGGAGGTGATTCTTCAATCCTTCTTTCAACGTC